ATCTTAAGTAAAACAAATAAGGGAATAAAATAGTAAAGAAATTAGGTCGATATCTCCAATAGATTAGCAGTTCCTGCGATTTGAATTTTTAGGATTTCGGAGAATTTTTAAAAAACAGGCTGTTATGCATTTTATATAAAATTTTTAAAGAATATGTATATAATTTAAGATAATAGAAATCATACATCTGAAGTTTTAGTAAAATCGAATAATGTTAACCCATAAATTGTGAGGGTCGAACTAAGCTATACAATATTGGGAAATTCTTTTGAAACCATAGCAAGGTATTTCTTTGTTTTCAACCGATTTAAATGAAACTTAGGAAAAATATATTATAAAGTCCTATATTTATAATGAAATCGAAAAATTCAAATTAACCCTTAAACGTAAATATATTTTTATATTTATATAAAATGTCCGTAATTTTCTTTATTTCCTTTCCAGCATCCGAGGAACTTTGTCAACAATGCTTATGTTGTCAGTCAATTTTGGAATTCTAACTGGTTTCATCCTGTCTTCTCATTTAGATTATCATCTAATACCATTTGTGACGATATCTTTGCCAATTATTTACTTAGTTGGTTCATATTTCTTTCCAGAAACGCCGCAACATCTATTGCATAAGAAAAACTATAATGATGCTGAAAAGTCATTTAGATTTTATAGAAATTGTAGCAGTGACCACAAGCCACAGTGTGACATAACTTTTGACAATTTTAAATCAAACATTGACAAAAATAATCAAGACACATCATTATCATATCGAGATTTTTGTAAGTACAACATACATCTTTTATCCCAATTTTCACCATGTCTAGTTATTTTTTTAACTTTAAGATATATTGACAGTTCTCGTACAAAAATTGTCTTAACTGGAAGAATAACTAGTAGTTAAACGATAACTGCAGGTGGTGAAAATGGGGATTAGTATTAAATTATAATTATTATAATTATTTTTTTTTTTTTTCAATAAAAAATACAGTAACAAAACCAGCAGTTAAATCAATTATCACCGCCGCCGTTTTACTATTTGTGAATCAATTTAGTGGAATTTTCGCTTTTGTAAATTACATGTCAAACATTTTTGCCGATTCTGGTTCTGCAATGGATCCCAATACTAGTACTATTATAATGGGAACTTTACAAATTGCCGGAACATACGCTGCTACTTTGTTAGTAGATACATATGGACGTAAGGTTTTAATGCTCTGGTCAACTGGAGGCATGGCTGTAGGATTGGCAATATTTGGAGCGTATACACATTATTCACGCATTGTCGATTTATCTGGATATTCTTTTGTGCCTCTTGTTCTTATGGGATGCATAGTATTTGTCGGTAACGTGGGATTGATTGCACTAACATTTGTCATTCTCGTTGAGATTTTCCCTGCAAAGGTATACATTATAATCAATGTACTTTAGGGGTATAACGTAAATTTGCCGAGATCACATAGTAGAAACGATTAATTTTTAATGTCCACAAAAAGTACTAAATATATATAATTTCCCTTTTGTTGAAAGTCAAAACTTAAAAGTTATCTGCTAAAAATAGTGAAATATTTGATCAATGTGAACATATCATTTCGTTATGGATAAGGCCGGCTTAAAAGTTCTACCCCCCTTTTTAATAATAAACTTTATTTTTAAATTTATTTAATTTTCCAGATTCGCCCGATTGCTGCATCTGTATCAATGACTACATTAAGTTTTTTGGTATTTGCTATGCTTAAAATTTTTCCCTTGTTCATGGATTCTTTTGGTATTTCTATAACTATGTGGTCCTGTTCCACGGTCTGTGGCTTAAGTTTTATTTATCTGTTAGTATTTTTAGTTGAAACTAAAGGCAAATCTATGGATTGTGATTAGCATACATACATACATACACATTTTGTGACAAAGATTAAATACAAAAAATACGTACATATGTAGTATGTAACAACAAATACATACATTTTTTAAAGAAATAATTGGGAATATCCATGCAAAATCAAGTTTGATTTTTCGACACCGATTTTAATAAAATTTATCACACCCATTATATAAGCATTGTGTTCTTTTTGAATAAAAACTCATTTCGTTATACATATAAATATGGCCCGTAATCTAAAAACTACTTAATGACATTTAAAGGAAATTATATTATTTTAGATTTATAGGAAAAATTCACTAAATTCGTATTCACAGACGTACAATAAGTAACTTAAATATGTACCTTCAATAAGCCATTAATAAATTAAAGTATTTTAAAATAGACTCGACCTTATTATTAGTATTTCTATAAAAAATCGATTAATCTTAAATGGATCACAAACCTTACCACCAATTTTTGTAAAGATCCGACCCATATAAAATCACTTTTCAGAAAATTATTTAAACTTCCATAATTTACTTATAAACACTAGCAATTACTAGTAAATTATGGAACTGTTATACCAAGTTCACACGAGCAGTTGAATTACTTAATACGGCCTCTGAATGACAATAGCCAATTAATGCACATACATACAGTGTCTCTCATAAGTATTCGAATTTAGGTGAACTATGAAAAGAAACCAAATTTAATAATATATTTTGTGTGCAAAAAAAAATTAATTTGTTATATTGTCTAGACAGTCCTTAAGTTTGATATCACGCTTTTTAAAAGTTAAAAAATTTACATTTACTTAAATTAAATTAGCTTTTTTTAAAAAAGTCCATAAAATTGTCTCACAAAAGTATACGAATTTTTCATGTTGTTCATATTTGAGCATATTATACGAAACACAAATTTTAGAATCGACTGGTTTTTATGCTTTAAATTATTTTAAGGGGTTACTATCAACCTAAATGATATATTTTTGGCCCATTGGGTCCACAATTTTTGAGGATTTGTACCCTCTTTTTATGTAATACCATTAAAATGGCGATTTTTGGCAATATTTGTAGTATTTTCTCTTTTTTTCAGAGATAAGACCAAAGTTTGATATTGGGATTTAATAGACCCCTTGGAGTATCTAAAAATAGTATTTTTTGTTACAAGAATCTGTACCCAAGTTATATTATTGATATCATTATCCTGTCGCTAATTCAATATATTGGAACTTAAGTCCATTTTCATAATACTAGGGTCAAAAAATTTCGGGGAATGTTTTCTTGTATATATTCTTTTAGATATCAGCTTTTATATATTTTAAGTTTTCAATGTATTGTGGAAGTGTTCAACTCCAAAACATGCCTCGAAGAAACACCATTCAATATGGTAGTATCATTATTTTTATATACCAATGACCTCCAGGCTGCATGCCACTATATCATTATGGTCTAACTCAAAAATATCGATATCTGTTTAAAAATTGATTACTATGATCAAAATAAACCCAAAATTTTGGACTTACATTGCTATTGTAATGGGCAACATAAGCGTGAAGGTTCCGAATAGTAAAAACTCAAATCTACTGTGTAGGATGACGTTTTGTTAAGGCATGTTTTGGAGTTGTATACCGATATAATGTATTGAAATTTTAAAATATATTAGTGCTAATATGTACATGAATGTATACTAGCCAACTTTGTCGGAAAATATCGACCCTAGTGGTACGAAAAGGGACTTAAGATCCATACAATTCAATTAGAAACAGAAGAACGATACCAAAAATACACCTTGGAACTTTTAAGTACAGATCCTTATAACAAAAATTATTATTTTTAGATACCTCAAGGGGTCTATTAAATCCCAATATTAAAGTTTGGGTTTATTTCTGAAAAAAGGAAAAAAAATTGCAAATATGGCCAAAAATCGCCATTTTAATGATATTACATGAAAAGATGGTACAAATGCTCCAAAATTGTGGAACAAATGGGCCAAAAATATATAATTTCACTCGATTATAATTTTTGCGTTTCGTATAATATGGTCATATATGAAATACAGGACAAATTCGAATACTTTTGTGAGACAATTTTATGGATTTTTTTTCAAAAAGTTAAAACAATTGAGGTAAATGTAATTTTTCCAAATTTTAAAAAGTGTGATATTATACCTTAGGACTCTCTAGACAATATAACAAATTTAATTATTCATTTCACACACAAAAAATATTATTAAATTATGTTTCTTTTCAAAGTACAACCAAATTCGAATACTTATGTGAGACACTGTATGTATTGATTGCATGTGTTCCACCTAGATTAGGTTAGGTTAGGAGTATTCCAATATTACGTAAACAAAGCGAAATACAACTGAAAAACTATATTTTGCTACATTTATTTTTTATTAAAAATAACACATTGCATTTTTGTCTTTAATTTTCTTTTAAAAAAATTTCGCGTGAAAACAAAGAACTCCAAAAATTTAAAAATCAAAAAATTATTTGTCACCGGTTAAGTTTAAATATCAAATATTTATTTGCTGTATTAAATGATTAATACAAACCCCCGAATAATTGAATACCATAGTATATATGCAGTATATTAAAATAAAACTCTTTGTTCATATTTAAAAATATTTTAATAGTTTGTAAAAAAGATAATTATTTTATTGTAATTTATGTATAGACATTTACATTTAGGCATGTAATGTTGGTACAAATAATTAAAAACTAATACATATGTATGTATTTGAAAAATAATTAATAATGACATTTAAAATATTTACATTAAAATAATAATAAAATAATTTTAATAACACACGCGTATGGTAGAGGGAACATTATTGATGATATTTATTAATTTGAAAATTAGTAAGAAAATTGTTGCCCATCGTTTGGTGCAGATGAACACTTTAAAAATTTGACAAATTTTACTTAAAATTAGACTTTTTTATTTTTAGTATTTAGCATGCATTTCTTATGACACTATTTTATTTTTAGGATTCACTCATTTTGTACGAATATTAGCATAAATAATGTGATTGTGTATAATTATGTTGTAAATGATAATATTATGACTACGACTATCGATACTGTCATAAACCTAACGATCGATATGATGTGGAAAACTTTGCAACAAACATCTTAATTTGTGACTTGTTGTAGTAATACAGTTTAAAAATCGATTAATCTCCTTCTTTTTCTATTAATCTACTGTTATTATCACGTCTTGGGACAGCGTATATAACGGAGTACCGCATATCCGAAACATCTAAATACCAGAAAGAACATCATTAGCACTAGAGTGTTTAACCAAAGCGGAGAGGATGAATTCTGGGCTTTGAGAATTTCCTCATAAGGAATGTACTTTGTGTTATTGCTCTTGCAGACTTCATAACTACTCGGTTGACTGCATCTACATTTAGATGTAAGGAATAAGTTGTAATACATGTAAAATATATAAGTTGTGGCACTTACTCTATTGGTGGACCTTCACTAAATTCCAATATTTGCATATTCTGATATGCGTAGTGTATCATGGAAGTGTAACGTATCCAACTTAAAAAGTCTGGAATACGTGTGGATAAATAACCTCCAAACAATTGTGTGGCAAGTGTATAAAGCGCGCTAAGCGTTATACTAACATTCATATCCATGCAACAGGCGCCAATGAAAAATCCCACACTTTGAGCAACCATTGTATTCAGCAGTAAAAATATTAACATTAAGAAAAACAATTTAAAACTGGAAATAAGTGAAAAAATAAAGAAGTACCAATACAAATAGTAACATATTTTAATTATAATAGTAAATAATTTTTCTATTATGAAATATACTTTTATTTTTAGATAGAAATTTGAAAAATGTGTGCTTGTTCTAACGTCTAATATGTATGTAGTAAATAAAATGCATTCAGATGATTTCACAGTACATGAACATGATTTCAAATTCAGTATTTGTAGTAATCAAAGTATTTGTGTTAATCAAATTAAAATTTAATAATCTTACCTAACACAACCCAACATTGGATATGATATCATTAGATAAACAGTTGGCAATGTTACAACTAACGGTAATTCTCCAAACATTTTTGCCAGATAATAAGCTGACAATCTATATGAACCCGAACGTCTTTCCTTATTAATCACTTCACGTTCGGATGGAACTTTAGGAATGAAAGTCGAAAGAAAATTAGAGCTGCTTGAAATTTATCTTCAGTGTGAACTTACACGAATTAAGAGCGCCAAATAATGCAAACAACATCCAGTAGGTTTGAGAAAAAAACATCCAACCCTGTAGATCGTGCAAATACTCTTCGGTACGGGGAATGTCAAACCATATTGCACCGGCCATCAGGGCCAAGCCTACGGTTTGAAACCAATTCAGTTTGGATAACATACGGGATTTCGCTTCTTTAAAATTTCGACTTGACAGAACATGAAATTGGGTGTAAAATCTTGTGGGATAGTCAAGCCAATCCCTACTGCGGCAACAACTTGATGCAGAGCTAAAGTTGGATTGTGAATCGCCGCCATTCCATAGTTGTTGAGTTGCCTCCTCGACGCCATTAAGGTCATCATGATGATGCTGATGTTCAATATCATGATGATCATTTACTAAAATTATATTTTGACTATGATTTTTATGCACGTCTTTGTAATAATTACTGAGTATATCGGTGATCAGAGCATCACGTTGTGACGAATGCTTGTTGTTGACATCAATAGGAGCAATTAATTGATGATTCTTTGGCTTTGTATCCATGTGAACATTTATGAAACCACTTTGTATAATACAATTTCTGTTTAGAAAGTTGCCGTGAGATTCTTTTGCGGCCACAAATAATTTTTCGCGGATATCGGGGTTAGATTTCAATTGTTCGACTAAAAATAAAATAAAGATTATAAAACTATTAGCAGAGTTTTACAACAAAGATTAGGTTTGGGTAACGAATATTTCTCTCAAAATAGAAAAACATATTGTAGGTTTCTTATATGGTTTACAAGGTAGATAAGTAAGCAGAAAGACATGTCTAAATTTACCCTTAATACCGTCCCAAGAAACCAAATTTATTACAAAATTAAGTTTATTCTATATTTTTAGACAAAACCAATGTTATACTAATATATATACTACATACACCTCATGTAAGTACATGAGTTTCAAAATTATATAAATGAGACAGTTTGTATATTTGTGAGTTTGATGTTCTTCACTGCAAAATGACAGATCAAGACTATTTTAATCAGAACTATATACATAATATGATCATGATGAATTAAGACTATCTTATGAGTATAATAGATCGGCCTCCAAGAACTCCTTTTTAATATCACATTTTGTAAATCAATAAAAATATGTCATCACATTACATTTCTATAAAAAATCAAATATCTTCTGTGATCACTTAAATTCTCTATCTTTAATTTATTTAAAACTTTGAAAAACCCACCCAACAACTAGCAATTATTCGTCATTCACGCTCTCATTCGTCATTCAAACCCCAATTAGGAACCGAATTACATGATTCGCCATACAAAATTTCATAATCAGCTGTTTGTTTTCATTAGTTGGAGACAAATTAAAAATTATATTACAAAAAAATACAAATAAATAGAAAATATATTAATTAATTTGTTAAAATAATTTATCAATGTGTCGTGAAAACGGATTAATTGGCTATTTTAAATCAGACGCCGAATTAAGTAATTCCACTGTTCGTGTGAACATGATATAAAGAATTTACTTACGTACAAACTCAGCTGGATTATAATGAGGTTTTATTGAAACGCCAATATTTTCGAAATATCTATAAATGTCTTTGACCTCACCAAAATAAGCTGTTGTTCCATTGTAAAGTAACAATAATTTATCAAACATATGAAACATTTGAGATGATGGCTGGTGAACAGTTATCACAATGGTTTTTTGTTCTTCAGTGGCATAACGTTTTAAAATTTTCATGAGCGATATTGCCGAATGGCTGTCCAAGCCTGAAGTAGGTTCCTAACAATTGTATAGAAATATAATGATAAAAGATTAATTAGAAATACATTTGAAATATTAAATTATTCTACTCACATCCAATAACATTAATAGTGGATTGGTTAAAAGTTCACACGCTATATTAGCCCTTTTCTTTTCTCCACCCGACAGCCCTCTGTTCATATAATCTCCAAATTTTGTATCCTGACAAAAAGTCAACTCAAGTGATTGTAAAATATCATCAACTAGTTTCGCTTTCTCTGTCACCGGTATTTCTTCGGGCAAACGTAATAGGGCTGTATACATGACGGTCTCCTTCAGGGTAAGGCCCGAAAAAAAGATTTCCTCTTGCAGGACATAGCAAATTTTTCGACGCCATTTTTTGGACAACATCTCTCGATTTAAATGAATACTTCCACAATCAATGCGCCTCTGACCACTGAGGCAATCAAGTAAAGTAGTCTTTCCACTGCCAGATGGGCCCATTATTGCTAAAACTTCGCCCGGACTTAAGTATTTATTTTGGATATTTGGTATATCTTTATTAAATATTAAAGAATATAAAGAAAGATAACTTACCTCACGATACCACTGACATCATTCAGTATTTTTCGTTCGTTGTGTAATACCGTTACATTTTGAAATGACAATTGCAGGTTTCTTTGAGGTTCTGTTGAAAAGGGTATTGCCACCGACGTTGATGATTCATTTCTATTATAATATACAAAGTTATAAAGAGAAACAGTAAATAAAATACAAAATAATAATTATCACATTATAGTTATAATTTTTTTTTATGATAATAATAATCATAGCTTAAACTTGTGAAAACACTAGTATGCAAATTTAATTGATTTTAGGATAAATCAAATTCATCTCATTGTCAAAAACACATTTCTTAATATTATAAATCTAGGGCTACAAATCTATTCAAAATTCTAATTCTAAGACCTACTATGACACATTGGCTTTATAAAAGTGTAATTAGACCAATTCTAAGTTATGCTTCAGTAATCTGGTGTACTTCTTTGGAAAAAAGTGTTATATAAAACTATTAAAGGTAGTTCACCGTGCATGCCGCTTGGGTATAAGTGGAGCCATGAGCACTACGTCAACAAAGGATCTGGAAACAATGCTAGATATTCCACCCATTGAGTAGTCGGCAATGAAAGAGCGAATGTAATAGCTTTAAAGGGAAGGGAGCTCGAGGTACATAGTTAACCTGGCGAACGCAAAACCACTTGACGCAATGAGAGCCGAATTAAAATAATAGTGAAACCGTTGATAGAACCACAAATATCCTATGGGGTGACCCTAACGGAAGCAGGACCAGAAGCCTCCTCAAAATAAACAAGTCTGAGGTTAGTATAATGATACGTATTCTGAGTGGACACACATAATTACACGCATACTCTTACAAAATTAGACATGTAGATTCAGACGAATGTAGAGTATGTAGAGAGGACAGTGAAACTCTGGAGTACTTTCTTTGCTATTGTAAGGCTTTCGCCGAAATTAGATCCAAATATCTTGGAAGTGATATTATTCAGGATATAATATCCCTCTAGAACACTAATTGGAAAATTCATAGGAATTATGTCCAAAAAGTACAACAAAACTTTAATACTTTTCGTTATACATTTAAAAAGTAAGCGGACAGGTGTTGGGTACTTTTTAAATTCGACGGTTTTAGGGAGTAAACGGGTTCTTTCAAACCTTATCGAAAAAATAACAATATAACTTTAGTATTTTCTTGGATAGTCGGTAAAAATGATACTTTGTTATACCCTTCACCTTCGTATACATATATAAGTTTGTCATTCCGTTTGTAATTTCCACAATATAGTTTTCCGAACCTATAATGTATATATCGTCACCAGTACCTCAATTCTATGTCGGTTGAGTTTACGATTTTTGAATTCCTTATTTAAGTTAACGAACTTTGTCGTTTTGAAATATTAACGACGAATATACATAGATAAAAATTTAATGTCAAATTACAAAATTTTTAAATAATTTTTAAATTCAAATAAAATAAATTAAATTTTTTTTATTAAATTGTGTTTAAAATAAATATTAAATAATACAAATATGAGTTCCTGGTATTTATACTACACAAGAGCGATGTGTATTACACCTCAAAGGACAGAGATTGAATGATGTTATAAAAGGTAACTTGCATTACATAGTACTATCTAATCATGTACTACTGTAATGTTTGCAGGGGAGAAGTTTTGGGATAATCTAAATGGATCACGTGCTCCGATAATTTTTGCACTCTAAATACATATTAATGTACAAAATTTTATGATTCGTGTTAAGATTCATCTGTTCAATTTTGTCTGTTCAATGGAGTCTATTAATAATATCTACTTTAAATGTTGAATTCTATTAATATTCCCATCCCCTTGTGGTATAACAATTCTTATGTTAAAAGTCAGTAGGAATATTAAAGTGTAAAAATCGGAATATTTATAATTGTTCCAAGATTCCTACGTTGATTAGTGGTAATTGTTCTAGTCTATTAAGAGCGCATAACAGGCCCGATGGAGGCCTAGGTGTATTTCTTCGGATTTAATGTAACATATGTACATTAGAGTGCTCCAAAAAAACGAAGTTACGAATTTTGCCAGTCCCCCTCTAGAATTGTTCTTTCGGTTGTAAAACTATGTCATACAAAAAAATTAGGCTGATAGGATAACGTTAACAGGTGCCGCAACGGCTCTGAAGTTTCCAAGTGCATTTACAAGGGAAAATATCGATTTTTTTTCAGTTTTTGCTCAAATTTCGACATTTAGTATTAATTTTTTCACTTTATTGTAAAGGAATCGTAATGTGCACAGAGTAAACATTTCGGAATGATATAAAACACAAAAATTGCTTGAAATATTTAGAAGTTATTGTAAATTTTCCAGGCCATTAATGACAAATTTTTTTTTTTTTTTTGATATATATTCTAAAAAAAAAAATTTTACTTAAAATATATCTATAATTACTCGAATATTAATTTTTGTGATCATAAGATAACGCAAACTTGTTCTCATCTATGGTCGAAATAGTTTGATTTTTTCAACGGCCGTTTCAAATCTTCAATTTTAGTTTTTTTGAAACTTTGTTAAACAAATTTCAAATTTTTTAGGAGATCTCATGGGGATTTATGAACAATAGATAATGCTATTAAACGGTAAAAAAATTCGATCAAGATTTCTTACAGTTTAGATGTACCTGCGATTTGAACTCGACAGATTTGGGAAAATCGCATATTTTAGAGAATACGTTTTATTTTTTTTACTGTTGAACATTTTAAATAAAGTATTTTCAAAGTATTATAGTCCAGATAATACAAAATATATATCCGAAGTTTTGTTAAAATCGGACATTTTTAACCCATAAACTCTGGAGTTCAAAGGTCAAATTTTGCAATATTTGGAAATTCTCAGTGTACCATTCGAAATCATATTTATTTGTCGGCCATATTTAGCAAAATTTATAGTATATAGTCCGATATTTGAAATAGAGTGAAAAAAGCCAAAATTAACCCTTTGAGGCACTTGTGAACAATTTAACACCGAAGTTCAAGTTTTCGGAAAAACTCTATTTGAATAATGTTCTATATAATTAGAGGAATAACAAAAAACAAAATTATACATTAACCCCCTTATTCACAAACAACATTTTTATTTTATAAAAAAATTATAAAACAAAATTTCCATACAAAATCTAATTTATAAACTGTTTATAAAATAAAATTTTTGTTTGTGAATAAGGGGGTAAGTATAAAAAATTATACCTTAACCCTTTCAGACCATTATAAGTTTGAATTTTAAATATATTAGATTGAAAATCGACCGTAAAAAAGCATTACATAAATTATCAGTTTTAAAATCTAAATCTAAATTATGATTTAATGTAACATAAATCAATATGTGTGCATAACGAATATGTATGTATTAGGGTGATCGATTATTCGACATTTTCCAAAAACCGGTTTTCGAATAGTTCGAATAGTTGACATTTAAAAAAAACCGGTTGATATTTTTCAAATTCAGAAAAAACCGGTTAACCGGTTTTTCATTATAAATAAAAAAAACATATTTTAATTTGAAAAACTTAATGTTTATGTTTAAATTTGATTAATAAAACATGGCCCGAAATGATTTTTAACAGTTTAAAAGATTATAACTTTAGATCTAGTCGTCTGATTTACATTATTTCTTTAATATAAAAAAATTAGGAAAAAAGTGGACACTTCTGTTAAACATAAGGTAATCATAGCTTATTTTAAAAGGAATATAATCTTAAGATTGATAAAATTTTATCAAATAGTTATCAATTTTACAAATAAATTTTTTTTAATTACCCAGCAAAAAATCTGAAATTTTTGGTAATAGCCAGTAGTTATTTCATATATTACTTGGTAATGAGTGTTCATTATCATCCACATTATTTCATTTAGCTGAATAGGTTATTACTGGTAAAGAACAAAACAATTTGGATTTGTTATGGCTCAATTGTCTAGGTCGTTCATTTAACAAATAGGGGGTTCGTGGTTCGAGCCCTGCTGGATACTGTTTATTTTTTTTCAAAATGACATTCATTTATATATTTTTGTAAAAAGCCGTTCTCAAAATTACAAAAAGCAACATGTTAATGGAGCATCGAGTAAGCGGCTGGAGTGAGAAACATAGAAAACAACTGAATGCCTGGGTTCAAATCCCGGCATTTTTTTAATTTTTGTTTTCTACATACAAAGTCGGCCCAAAATAACTAGCTATAACATAACATATTTGTAGGTTTATTTGTAACTAGTTATTTCGCAAAGTTTTTGTAATCAAATTAGTAACCATTTATTAATTTGTTTAAGGTAGGTACATATTATTTGAACCTCGTCGAACAAAAATAATTAGTTATTCACCCCAAAAGTAATTAGTTTCCACGTGATTCCAATATTACTTTCTAGATTACTAGGTAATGAAAATTTTTGCTGGGTAATTAGGAAAATCAAAAAAGTTTAACTAAAGGAGCTTTAGAAAAATATACGCTAGCTCCTCGACTCGAATATTTTTAAAATTTAGGCGGGCTGTATTATTATTTACTTAAAAATTTCATTTAAATAATCTTTGAATACAAAGCAAATAAAAGTATTCGAAACCGGTTTTTAAAAAGTGAAAAAACCGGGTTATTCGATATTCGAAAAATCAACATTAAGAAAAAACCGACACTGGTAAAGCAGAAAAAACCGGTTTTAAAACCGGTTGAAAAATCGAGTCGATCACCCTAGTATGTATGCTATGCCGATATTAAGATATATTTTTTTTAATTTATTTTGATATTTTTGTTTTTATAAATACATACTTAAATTTAAAACATATGTATAAAATTAAACATAAATCTGGCATATTTGAGGGCCATTGACTTTTTGCATTCAATACTGAATTCAAAATACAAAAGAAAACACGCGCAAAAAGAGAAAACAAAGAGATGATGTAGGAAATGAACTGCCATAAGACAAGAACGAAAGTACACCAACTTTTGAAAGTTACCGACAGTGACTAACAAAACAGTAGCAATGCCAAATATAAATTACAAATATACAATACTAGCTATACCCAGTGTGCTTTGCTACCCTAAAATCAATGTATATAAAAAACACTTCACGATTTTGAAGATTCTAACTATGTATAATAGTTTTTCAGATATACATTTTTTAA